CAGAACTTGCCACAGAAGCAAAGTTGATAAAATAATGAAAGAATTACCATGATCTGGCTGCAAAGTAGCTATCTCTATGCAGCCCAGAAGAATGTGCGGCTGGGTGCTTTTCCCACTCATACAAATATTTTGATTGCCCAAATATTCTCATTAAACTAAAATTAGGGATTGATATGTGTTAGGGAAGAAGAAGAGGCACTGAATAAAGTTGTATGCACAATTTTAAAAAGAACCTGTGTTTCTGTGAAAGAAAGAGTGAATGAGCCTGTTCAAAAGGAAGAAATTGCTGAGATGAGAAGGACCAAAGAGGGAGTGGGGGAAAGGCATGCATCTATGTATGTAAGCGGGATGGTTGGATAACTGTACTGTAGATTTCTGCTGGTCTGTGGAAGGGAGCAGTTAATGCTTCATGCTTGTTTATTTTCTTGCTTTCTTTTCCCATTTTTCTCTCTCCTTAATTTCTTACTATTTTCTTTCATTGTCCAATTTTACATGCATATATCTGCTATTCTGAACAACTAATTGGAAGACAGCCCTATGCAGTACAAGGGACACAGTCAAAGTCGTATTATTTTATTTAGGGAAGCTCTGAATCCTTTCTAATTTTTTATTTTACATTACTATTCTTTATTAATTAATTAATTTATTTTTTGCAGAACTGGGGATTGAACTCAGGCCTTTGTGCTTGCCAGGCAAGCACTTGTTCTACTGAGCCATCTTCCTGGCCCCTATGTTACTATTCTGTGTTCACTAAATAACTGTCCCTTGAACCAAAGTAGTGCATATTTTTAATAATATGAAGAAACTAAAAGAAAATTTCTGTTAAATTTCTAATCACTGATTAAAACAATTTTAATGACAAATTGTGACATCATTAAGCTTCTTTAACAGGATACAGATAATGACCATAGGAAATAAAGGGAAAAGACAACAAAAAGTTAAGATTCTCAAAAATCAAGTCTTAAAAATTGTTACAAATGTATTAGGCTCAATAAATAAGGAAATATAAAATATGGAACTCTTCACACACACATTTGCCCTGCCTGCTCCTTGGAGTAATATCTAATTATTACTTGAAAAACATTCAACAAAATAACAAAGTGAATAGGCAATAAAATATATAGGGAGAATGTATATCATTACATTAACAAAAATTCACTGATGACACTGTGAAAGTGAAAACAAACTGACATATTATTCATGAAGTATAAATATCAGTAACACTTTTATAAAGCCAACTTGCAATCCTGTTGTAACCGTTGGCTTTGAAACAGTAAATCAATTACCACCCTAACCTAAGGAATCAGCCCTAAATTAAAAGAAAGCTCCATGGTGCTAGGAATTGTTCTTGTTTATGAAACACGCACTTCATGGAGCAAAAGCTTACTCTTCACAAGAGAGGTGAACCTGTGACGTTCTAACAACTGGGAAGGAGGGCCAGAAGCCAGAGAGTGAGCTATCTCCTATTTCTCTTTATCAAGATCTGTTCATCATCGTCTATGCTTGTGTTTATTAGAAACACACATGTCCAGCAAAAGAATCAATACATTAATGTTCGTCATAGTGTCTAGACAATGGAATACTGTGCGTGCATTAAAATGAGGGTTAGCAACAGTTTGCAAACATATGAGAAAAAGGTTATGTTTTAACAAGTGGAAATATGTTAATCAAAATTTTGTTGAATACTAGTTCAACTCCGTATATTACGTATCTTTAATAAGCTAGAGAAGCTTACATTAAATATCTACTGTGGTTATCTCCAGCGGAGAAATTATCAGAGAATTCCACAAACTTTTATATACTTTTTACAATGAGCATTCACTAGATTAAATCATTTATGTACTTTTCTTATTCTTTTAATTGTAAAACTAATAATACTCCTGAAAATTATATAGTGAAGCACGACTGATACAATACAAACTCCTCAAATCCAGAGATAATGTTTCAAGTAGGTACATGTGCAAATGCATTACAGTAAAGTTTATTACACACATAAACATTGTGTAGGGATTCTATGTATGAATGTGAATGATTTTTAAGATGAGTAGAATTCTATTAAATACATTATTCTATAATTTCCTTTTTTAGTTTAAAAGTTACCCTAGATAGACTTCCATTACTTTTACAATCAGAATTTTACTTTTTACATCCTGCTATGAAACTGAAGAAACACTTCTCCATTATTGTGTGTAATGCAAATCTATGAACCAGGGGTCCTTGTGTATTTCCAGAAATTCTGCTACATCAAGCTCTTGGGCTTGCTACAGTTATTTATTTCTAAGAATGAATGAGTGAAAACAACAGAGTAATTACCCAGTAAGACTTTTGAAATAAAAACACAATCATTGTGTTTTTTAGGATTTTTAGTGCATTTTTTTTTCATGATAGCAAGTACAGCAGAGATATGCCTGAGGTGTCACAAAATGCAAAAATAAATAAATAAATAAATAAGAAAAGCAAAACAAAACAAAAACACAGAGCACCTCATTTGATATATACATCAAATATTAGATTATATTATTTCAGGACTCAAAAGTCAATCTGTTTAACTTTCCCCTTCAGACCTCTGACTTTTCTCTCAATAAAAGACTAGGAGTATTTCAGCGCAGAACATTTTTGCTGAACACAGTTATCAGAGAGCCCAAGATAACTTTAAATTTGTTTGACATATATACACGCAGTGGTGTGTACAAAATTTAAAAATGTCCATTAAGAAACTGTATGAAGACCAAGGGAGGCCAAGCTATCTAAGCTTATTTCATAAATAAGTCACACATTATAGACTAACAAAAAACACCAACAGACCTGTCCCCTGGGTCCTACTTTGAACAAAGCTGTAGCGGACACATTAGAACTTAGACTAATTCACTTAGATGATATCAACGACATCAAGCAATGGAATTGCCAGTGTACTGACACCCACAGCAAGGCCCTTGCAATTACAGAAGACTTCATTAAAATTTGCTTATGATTAAATTTGATGCATCCAGGCTGAATTTTATTAAAGGATTTACTCGCTACTGATACACTCTGATCTGCTGCATAATGAAATATTTATGCATTGTAAAGGTTATATGGATCAAAGCTCAACAAAATACAGTCTGTGGGCCAAATCCAGCCAGTCATCTGTCTTTCTAAATAAAGTTTTATTGCAACACAGCCATGTTCATTCATTGACATACTGTCTGACTGGCCTAGTAGTGTTGGGCTGATGCATCAGAGATTCTTACAGCCTTCAGATCCTAACATACTATTTCACCTTTTTCAGAAAAAATATTTCCCAATTGCTGATTAAATTCTAGTTTAAAAATCAATTGTAAACTTTTCTTTAAGTGTCTAGGTATTTCCAATAAGGAATAAATAGTGTACATTTGTCTTTATTCTAGGAAGGTAATCCCAGGCCTGAGATACAGAACTATCTAGGTTAGAGTTAAAAACAGACTTAAATCCCAGCTCTGCCTCCTGGAAGTTGGACTGATTTCTTACCCTCCCTGGGCCTCAGTTTCCTCACCTTTACAATGCAGGTCATGATAATACCTACTTGAAGTCATTTTTACTTGTGGTGAGAGCCGAATGCGTACCACTGTCCATGGCCCGGTACTCAGTGAAAACTCACATCAGCTCATACTCTTTTTGTCTACTTCCAAATCAGGTCAAATGAGCACAGCCTTCATGTGGCCTCCAGTGCTCTCCAGCTTCCAGAGCCTGTGTTTCCCCACGGAGATGAGACTGATGATTCTGCCCACACGGGCAAGCCCTCCACCAGACACCACGCGAGCCTGACCTATGCTACACACAGCAGGTAGACACATGAGGTGCACTCTCAACTTCTTCTTCTGTGAAAAGGGAGCACAACCCAAGACCTCCAGCCCACCTGACCATTTTTATGTCTTTGATCCCAACCCCAAGTAAGATCCATTTGGCCACTGTCACTGCAGAAGGCAATGAGGTAGGAAACGCACAGTCCCAGAGCTAGAGCGGTCTTCAGTTACGCAGAATGTAGCCCTCAGCAGCTAGAGCGGTCATCAGTTACGCAGAATGTAGCCCTCAGCAGCAGCGAGGCACTTTGTGAACTGGAAAGCAGTTTGATTCTGTCCCCAGTGAGATGGCAAGTTAATCAGGAGAGAACAAGAAAATAAACTCGGCAGTATCTTTGTCACATGACACAAAACTCTGTTCTACTGACTCTCCCAACTGGTCCTCTTACCCCACTAACCCCCGTTCTCGTCTTCTTTTTTTTTTGCTCCTCGAATGCCTTCAGAGCACTTTTGGCTGGCTGGAGTGTTGTGGGGATCGAACTGCAGCAAGCTGAGGCTGACAGCTTTGTGGAAGCAGCCACTTAAGGAACTGAGCTAGGGCCAGCCCTCCCCCATTCTCTTCTATGGGTCATTTTTTCCAATCCCTTGCAAAAGGGGCCACAAGCGTCCCAGGGTAAGATACCATGTAGGGTGGAGAAACTGAGGAAGGTCCCCAGGGAGTACCCCCGAGCTGGCCTTTGGAAGGCCCAAGGAGCCGCACATGTAGACAGAGACTGAGAGTGGCTAGTGACGGGCTACACACCCCGGGGCAGTGGGATCAGGCACAGAGGTGCCGTCCTGACCAGGAGGATCTGCCAGAGCACCACAAGGACTCTCATCCTTTACCCAGAAGATAAAGGGGGTCGCAGCAATCCAAGGACAGAAGAATGAGCCAGCAGGGGTATGCACCAGGAACCAAATCAGGGCAGAGCCAGAAGCAGCAGCAGGGTAGACCACACTGTGCCCTGGCAGGCAACCGTGTCACGACCAGAAGATGAGGCACTAGTGGCCTTCCTGGTTTTGAGGTTCTGGATGAGGGTTATCCCCAAATAACTCTGCCTTAAAGAATTCTCTTTCTCAAAACTTGCTCACTCACTTTTATTTTTAGTAGCAGAGGTAGGTAAAACTCCTGGGCTATCAAAGCAAAATCTATGGCAGCTTGGGCCTCATCAGTTCCCGTCCTGCCCCCGACGTCTGACTTACCGGGCATACAACGGGAGGAGACCGTGTGTCCTCAGACGTTAATCTCACTGAGCCCCACAGTCACGTGGGCTCTGCAGCCCGGTTCTCAACGCTGGTGCTGGAAGAGAGAGAGAGAGGTCTAGTGAGTCATTAGAAAGGACAACATGGCCATCAATTGTCAGCTCTAGAAAGTCCCAACAGTACCCAGCTTTAGTAAGACAGAACTTACAACAGAGCGACACAGGACAGCTTGGTTATCATGAGAATCCTGAGTGTTTCTCTCTGTCAGAGAGAGAGAGAGAGACAGACAGACAGACAGACAGACAGACAGACAGACAGACAGACAGAATGAGAGAGCAATCAGTTTCTTTCTTCAGAGAAAATAGAAAAATATTTTAATGTTGGTCACCATACAAAAAGAAAAGAATCCTAAAGAATCATTACTTCAGAACCTATGTCATTACATCAAGCAGTTTAAAAATAAAAATATACTCTTTCTATGATAGCTCACTCATTTCAATTTTTTAACTTACTCAGTGCCCAAAGAAATGCTTCATAAAAGAAATGATGGCAAGGGCCAGGTAGACAGCTCAGTGGACTAAGAGCCTGCTTAGGCAACTGCAAGGATCAGGGTTTGGTCCCCGGTACCGCATGCCACACTGGCCCCACCCCAAGGCACACTGAGTCGGGGAGATGGCTCAGTGGAATAAGCGCTTCCCTGGCAAACACAAGGGCAAGAGTTCAATCCCTGGTTCCACCAAGGTACACTGAGCTGGCCACTGAGACCAAGTGTGTGGTGTATGCCTATAATCCCAGTGCTGGGGAGGCTGGACAAAGAGGATCACTATGAGGCCAAGCTGAATAGTGAGACCCAGTACCAAGTATATAAAATAAAAAGAAATTATAGCAGCAGGTATAAGATAAACTGTTGCTGAACTTGAGAACTGTATTCTCATTATTTACATATTAATTTGTTTGTTGCAGTTTTATGAGACTTCACAGGGAAAAAGAATCCTATAACCTAAACAATTTTATTTCACCATAATGTTTTCAATTCAATTATATACAAGAAATCTTGAAAACTTGCTGTTTTAATGTATTGGAAAGAATAAAGTGAGACTCCCAACCTCCCTAGAAACATAAGTGATAATCGTATAATCATGATAGTCAACATAAGTGACAGCTTGAAGAAGCCCGTGAGCCCTCCTCCCCCACTTACTCCCCGGACAGGACGAGAGTCCGTTAGCAGTGCTTATGGTCTAAGCATCAGGCGTCTCCCAGAGACTCGTGCTGAGGGCTTGGTCCCCAGGCAGCAAGGACCAGGGATGCAGCCCAGGAAGCGGCTGGATCACGAGGGCTCTAACTTCCCAGACGGGTCGGTCCTCACATGCATTTACAGCTGCACAGGCTAGGAGGAGTGGGAGCCACATGGAGGAGGCAGAGCCCTGGTGCTTGCTGTCGAAAGGGATGCCTTGTCCTCAGTCTCTATCTTCTCAGTCTCAGTCTCCATCTCTCTCTCCCTCCTTCTCCCAGTCTCACTCTCCCTCCCTGCACTTTCTTCTCCCTTCTCCCTCCCTCCCTTCCCCTCCCTTCTTTCCTTTCTCTCTTCTTCCTCCCTGCCTCTCCCTCCCTCCTTCTCTCCTTCCTTCCCTCTCTCCTTTCTCCCTCCTGCTCCCTCTCCTTCCCTCCTTCCCACTCCCTTCCTCTCTCCCTCCCTCCCTGCCTCCTTCCCTCTGTCCCATTCTCCCCTTTCCCCTCTGTCCCTGCCTTTCCCTCCCTCTAGCTGCCAGAAGGTGTGCCACAGCCCCTTCTACTACCATGTTCCATTTTGCTGCAGGCCCGCATCAATGGACCCAGCCAACCATGTACTGAACCCCCGAAACCATGAGCTAAAATAAACCTCTGAACTTAAAGTCATCCATGCCAGAACTGTGAAAAGCTGACGTACTTGTGAACAATCCCTGTTACGCTAGGCTCTCCCCTTTCAGGCTGGGATCTTCCCTCTTCCCATTCTGCTCACCTAGCTACTATCCTAGTCATCTTTCCAGTTGGCAGCTCTCGGTGCTCTGCATGTGAACCTCGCTGCTGGGGGCCATCCCCACCTGTATACCTGGGGAGCAGCTGAGAATTGCAGAGGCAAAATGGGGAGAAGAATGTCCCAGTGTGTTCTGCCTGCTGACTGAGCCCCTCACAGACACTCAGTGATGATCAGGTCACTGGCCTCCAGAAAATAACCTGAGGTGCAATATCTGCAAACATATCAAATTGTGTCTATTAAAAAGCCCTTCTGGAATGTCCAGAGGGCAATGAGAACATAGCAGTTCTTGGGAGGCAAAGGGGACCCAGGCAGCAAACCCTGAAGTGCAGCTGCAAAGGCCCCTGAGCAGCCGGGGGCATTCACACTGTGTGGATCACCAGCTCCAAGGGCCCAGTTCTAAGGTCAGTGACAACTCATGACATTACCCTTGGGAAAGTGCAGGGGGCAGCTGCAAGTGTTGAAGGCCACAGGAGGCACTAAGGCTCTCTCCCCAAGGCAAGCAGGCACACTCAGCTCAGGAAAACTTGCTAAGAACTGACAATTTCTTTTTCTAGACACCAGACCAGTATTCCCTGAGTGTGGAAATGAAATATATTGGTTGGGACTTCTTCATTAAACAGCATATTTGAGCTCATGAATGTCCTCTCTTGAGCTCTAAAATTTGTTTCACAATATTGGCTAAAATTTCCTTCTATTTATTTAGATCTTTATCAAAATTCAAGAAACACAATTAGATGGTGCCACTGGGCCCATCCAAGTTGAGAATTAAATTAAAAATGGAGCTCACAGTTCTCCTATTTCCCAGCCCACAACCTGGTAAGGTCACTCATGAGTTGAGGGGCTCTCAAAGCTGTAACTACAGAATATGTGGAAGTGGAAAAAGGAGATGATGCTGAGGATACTGCAAGAATTCAGTCAGTGACCCAAACAGAAAGGGAAGATCCCTGCTGAATCCAGGCAAGGACAGCTCCAGGTCCAGATAGACAGCTCACCAAGCCTGGCCCAAGCTTCAGGCTTCAAGGCCCAGTCACTCCCTTGGAAAGTACAAGGCTTAAGGGACACAGCTCAGTGGCTTAGAGAAACCACACTGCTGACATGAGGGTCAGCATGGCCCTGGGGGGTGAGCAAAGGTGGGACAAAAGCCAAAGCAGCACAGCAGAGACCTTGAAGAAGGTAGTAGGAGGAGAAGGAAGAGGAGGAAGAGGAGGAGGAGGAGGAGGAAGAAGAAAGAAGAAAAAAAAGAGGAAAAGAAGGAGGAAGAGGAGAAAGGAGGAGGAGGAAGAAAGAAGAAAAAGAAGAGGAAGAGAAGGAGGAAGAGGAAGAAAAAGAGGAGGAAGAGGAGAAAGAGGAAGAGGAGGAAGAGGAGGAGAAAGAGGAAGAGGAGGAGGAGGAGGAGGAGGAGGA